AAAATACGGTAGCTGTCCTTTTTTAAATGCCTATGCTTAAGTTTTTATAGGTGTTGCGATCTGCTTTGTGTAGCGTGGTTCTACAAGCAAGTCAGTACATTCATTGGGTGGTATCAGAGAGTTACACAGGTCTGTAAATGCAATGAAAACAATTGGCCACAGCTAATTTGATTGAATTATAAAAGGTATATGTGGTCAAATGAAGGGCCGTTGAGGAGCCGTCTCTTCTCGGTGAGCCAAGCCAAATGACCCGGCTCAATAAAAAGAGCCGGAATTCTCATCACTACAGGCTGGGTCATAAATTATAACCCTGCTACTTCAGGATCAGGGCACTGGGTGGGACTTTGTTCCCAGAGTATATCAATTACATACCACCATTTTATTCTATATAACTAATTGAGGAGTGAACTAGGAGAATAAGATAGTAATGACTGAGGTTCGAATTTGTGCCATAGTAAAAATGTGTGTGTGTGTGTGTGTGTGATGGGGTTAGCTTTGACATGTTGTTTTTCCATTTTAACATTGCAATAGAAAATAAATAAGTACAAAAACAAGCTGACAAGGTACTTTTCTTAATTTGGTATTCATTAACCTCTATCTTAATTTAAGTAAAGTTTTTAAAGAACATCTACTTACATGGCTATATTTTCTTGAAGTCGAAGGTTTTGCTACTCCCTCACAGGCTGATTTCAGCAGCTGCAAGCCGGTTTTCGAACACCTTACTCTCTGCATATCTTCAGGCACTTGTGTGTAAAAGACGGTGGGTAAACAACATACAATAAAAGAGAGCAGAGCTTTTCTAGCTTTAGCCGAGCTAACAGTAACTATCTACTTCGGACGGAAGAAATGGGTCATGGTATCTCAAACAGACAGAGAGGGTCAATACTAAACTCTGCGCGTTCTGCTCATGCTGTCAGTGTAGCTGCCATACAGTGACGTCTATTACAATGAATGCGCATGCGCAGAGCCACCGGAAAGACAAGGTTGTTTATGATCTGAGTTTTTGTAGAAATGAAACTGAATGACTTAATAATAGAAACTTAACCGCACAAATCTAATTAAAATTATTATAGCATAATTAATTCTCGACATTGACACGCAAATAATGTTTTCTGTAACATGTCATAATACCGTGTAGTTTGAGTAAAGTGGTTGGTCAAATTAGTTAGTACTACATAGGCTAGTAAACATTTCATATGTTTAAAACCTTTATAGTTTATATGGGTTGTAAACAATGCTGTGTTCAAGTTAACAGCCTTAATTTAGTCAGCCTTTTAAAATATATATTTATCAGCAAATTACCTTACACATTATGTTTTGAATTAATATACATGGTAATGCACATATACAATTTATTTTCTTAGTACTTAAATAACGCCTACAAATGAACCCCCAAGTGGATCAGGTAACATGTTCAAATGTACCTTTCACAGACCGTCTATATAACCATGTCTATACTTATGCTTGTCTTAGGCAAAGTTAGTTAAGTCCAACAAACGTTTTTTATTTATTGGTTGCCAGTAATGTTGTAACATAATCAGTAATCACTGTATTTACTAGACACCATATGACATGTTCATTTCATTCTGTAAATGGGTGTTCATTAATTTAAAACCATTGTAGCAAAACATCTTTATTAGTCCAGGGTACAAAACACAAATAACATTAATTCTAAGTGTAAGCTATAAACCCAGTAGCACAAACAAACATGAATTAGATACACTTCACATTGATTATCCTCTACAGGCAGACAGTAGACACCACAGTCCAGTCCTCAGCTGAATCTCAGCTCGTTTTCTAGTCCGTAGATCTTAGCCTTCAGCGCCATCAGCTCACCCTGAACCTTCTTCGTCCTGCCGCTGGTCTGACGTACCTCATGCAGAATGGCTAAGTCCTGGTTGGGCCCAACATTCAGAGTAACCTGCCAGAGAGGATGCATGTACATCAGGTTTAACAGTTTGCATTTGAACTATAATAAAGTTCTATATAAGGTTAAATAGAGAGCTCAAAACATGCTTGTTGGCGTTACAAAAATCACCCAAAAAACCCTTTAACAGTTAAGACAAAGTGAAAAAATGGGGTTAGTTGAAAAAGTTAAATTATCGGTCAAGTAATTTCACCTTGAGGAGTTGTTTTTCGACATCTTTGAACTTCTGTCTGAGGTGCTTCAGGTCCGTCTTGAAGCCCTCCACCTCCATAGCCCTTCTCTTCTCCAGCGCTTCATAACGCTGAGTCATCAGCTGCAGACGCTTGGCCATTTTGTCTGAACGCTCCTGCACAAAAACATTTGGTAAAATAACAAACATCAGTATCAACAAACTCGGACATGGCATAACATATGAACATTAAATCAGATCTGTATATGCACAGGAATGGTACCTTAAATATTTCCCTGCCCACATCCCCTTCTTCTCTGATCTGGGACAGCTCTGTCTCCAGTGTAATGCACTGCCCTCTGTACATCTCTGCCAGACGGTGGGCCTGCTTCACATCCTCCTGCATTGCCTGAGGACATAGATTAAAAAAAACAAGTTAAATGAAAAAACAGCTTAATATTTAATCAAAGGGAAGGATTATTAATATTGAGGTGAGTTTGCAGAAGTGATAAGTTAGCAGATATATTTTAAGTTCTGGCTATGTTTTCAGGATAAAAAAAGACGAAACAAATATTACTTTCAGCTCCTCCTTGAGCGACTGCTTCAACTCAGGCTGAGGCCGAGGGGGGAGCAGGGCGGTGCTGGTGCTGGGCTGCCACTTTGGGCCCAGCTCTGCGCCGGCAGACGGGGTCTTCCTCAGGCGGTTGTGGCTGGAGTCCAGCTCCCTGAGCAGCCGGTCCTTCTCTGACATCCAGCTCTTCTCATGAGCCCGGGCGTCAAACTTTAGCTGTAAAAAATCCCTGGTGCTCTCATATAACAGGTTCTGGGTACGCTGGAGTCTGAGGTGTAAACAAACAAAGAAAAATGTGTTTACAAAAAGAAAAAAATCCAAAAGAGGATTCACGATTCACAAAAAGAAAAAAAGGCTTAAAGAGCATCATTCCTAAAATACACAGTACAGTAGTCGTGAAAAAAAAAAAAAAATGCAGACCCACTTGTCAGTCAGAGCTGATATCCGCTCCTGATCTTTCTGCCGTTGTGCCTGTGCCTCCTCTGTTTTAATCTGCCTATCCTCCATCAGAGACTCCACCTGCTCTCTAACCAGACGGGTCTGCTCCTCCATCTGAGCCTGCAGGGCCTCCACCTGAAAACACAAGCGACACAAATATAGTTTGGTCAAATCATCGCCAAAACCATGGAGGCAGAGAAGGGAAAAAAGTTCTCATCACTCTTTTCACATTTCTGTTGTAATTATTAATGTTGAATAGTGATGTGTAGCTCTCTTTATGAAAATTGAAAGCACATTCATTCTATTACCCGCATCAGAAAGACACCTAGAACTACCTGTAGTAACAATGTCTGGTTATCGTTCTTGTATTGTTCCAAGCTCTCTCCATTTGTCCCTTCTGCAGATTTTAATCTCCTGCCGCTCTCTAAAAAAATACAGACATAGAATGAAAATGTCACAGTCTGTCTGTATTTAACATTTAAATACAATTAATTGTACAAAAGACATTTGCCATAAAATGTTTTCAAACCTTTCCTGGTCGCAGCAGGTCTTAACTTTGTTGGCCTGAGATTGAGGTGTTCCTCCAAGCTGGACTCGGACTTCCTCTGTGTGATGGTTACCTGATATACAACAGAACAGCTGTGTTCAGAACATTGATTACCCGTTTACCTTTTTATCTTGCATAGAGTCATATTTAAGTAATACAAATTATTTGTTGTAATTGTATTGTAAAATACATGAGACTATGTAATTAAAAAAAGCAAGACATTTCGAGCCACATGAACAACACCAGTTCCATTTAAGTGTGCCAGCCGATTTAGCATGTATAAAAAGGGATAAACTGCACAGGCTGCTGTGAGACAGATCAACGATAAAGTAAACATGTACCTTGTGAGGAGGCTCCCGGTGGAAATATGTGATCTCCCCGGTATCAGGACCCACCAGAGCAAGAAGGTGCTGGATTTTCTTCCTGTCCTCCAACTCTCTGCAGTGCACAGCAGTCAATAATGTTAGATAACTGAATAGTAGTGCTTGGGAAAAAAATAATGACAATACAATGCTAAAAGCAGATATTAAAGGCTCAACCACACAGGTGGTTTCACAAAGGGCCTGTTAGAAAATCATACACTATTATACTGTTTAAAAAAATATGAAGTACCATTAAGTGAACAATCATGCATAATAGCAGCCACATGGATCTGGTACACCTACATTTAAAAGCAGCCCTAATTCATGTTATTATCAAAGCTGTGATTTCCTGCTAATACAGGTCAAAATATCCACTGGATTCATCATCAACTGTACACCCACCTGATCTTTAGTCTGTCATTTTCCGCATAAAGCCGGAGAGACTGTTCTCTCTCTTGAAAAAGGTAGACCTGCATGTCACTCAGAGCGTTCTGCAGCTCGGCAATCTCGCCCTCCCGCTGTCGCACTTCCCACTGTAGTTTATGCTAGACGAAATCCAGGACGGACAGAAGTTCAGTAAAAACAGGCGATTATACTCATGCATGCCAAACATACAAACAAATTATAATCACATATGACTCCTAGCTTTGTTTCACCTGGTCCTCTGTGATGCCTTTGTACTTCTCCAGCATCTGCAGCAGCTCCTCGTGCTCTCCGTCAAACTGGGCAATTTTCTGTCTGTAAAACTCCAACAGCTCCCTGGAGGGACGCAGGTAAGCCAGCCGCTCATGGATCGGGGGAAGTGGGGAGTCAGGTTCTCGACCAGGCGTACAAAGGTTGGTTCTGTAGAAACAAGAAAGAGACTTTACGGAATTATCTTAAAAATGAGAAAATGTTACATTTTGCCCCATGCGTGACAGTACATGCTGCATTAAAAAAAAGGAATGAAAAAAGGCATTTAAACCTTCTTAAGGAGTGAGACTTAATCCATGTGGGATAAGATTTAGGGATGTATCAGTGGGGGGGACATTATAAGACTAAGCATCATTTAGGGAGATTACAGTTAAAGCATTACATCTTCTGACAATGGACCCTCTCAGTGTCATAGCAACATTTCTATTGCACACATTCTTTTCTTTAAGATCTTACCTGTGTGGTGTTGCATCTTTTGTTGGAGATCCCATCCCAATAACACTGAAAACAAAAGTGTAATACAAAAAGTGGTTGTCATCAATACTGTAAAAAATACTGTTTATACCTGTCTAACAATTACATATTTTCTGCAAAAAATTCTGTATCAAGAGGCCAGATGATTGGAATATACAATGTTAATACAGAGATGTCAGCCCAGAGAGCCACTGTGAGAAATCAATGCTGAGAATACTGAAATATTGACAGCAAATAAACAGCTTATTGCCATCTTTTTAAATGCCCATTATCATGAGTTGTGGTCGGATTACGATCATATAAAGTGTAGTTTGTAAAATATAAAAATCAAATGAGACACATATTGTATAAAGGGAAGTGTGCAGCATGTCTGAGTTTCCATTGGTCGGGCGCCAGGGGGAGCGGGACGTTTAAAAGCAAAGTCTACTACTCTTTTAGAAATAATGGTATACTCACGTTGAAGATTTCAACACAAATCGAGCTAAATAAGACTAAAGTTGTAACTGTACCTTTGACAAAAACAAATAAGCACGTTACTTCCTTTTGCAAAGCTACTAAGTTTTGTCGATCCCTTGTGAGGTATATTGATGGAAACACTTTAGATTTAGCAAAAATAAAGTAAGCACATAACAGCACAACAACAAAGCTACATTTAACTTATTTCTGGTGTTTTTGGCTAGCATCCTTTTACATTTAACTTACCGAAAGTCTCAAAAGTCTTCGTTCAACGGTGCTGTTGGTTCGTTGCTACCGGTTGTTGTCATCTGGATTTTGAAACCCGGAAGTTTATGCGTCGTCGTCTTCTTCGTGGTAAACTGCAGCGAAGTTAGAGTTATTTGGTCCTCCAGCGGCAGGCCAGGGTACTGGGTTTGAGCTGTGGAGCGGAGCGACATGAAAAGTAGGAATAAACTTAAACAGACAGAAGGGATCACCAGGGATGGAGGATGAAGTTCCTTTCATCAGGAAGTTACTGTAATATCGAAAAAAGTAAAGAAAATTGTTTTAAAGTTTCAATAATTACATTGAACTGGCGCAATTTATGGATGGTATTTTTGTATGTGGTCATATACATTTAGTTTAGTAATTCCACTGTTACACAACAGCGTTTGCATTAATTCTGTATATGCAATGCACTGGAAAGCTCTTGTAGTTTGCAGAACACGGAAGATAAACGTTTATCCCTTCAAAATAAAAGGCTGACATGGAAACGTGGAGAATAAGAAATATGCAAATCTGTGACATCTACTTAAAAGGAAGCTAAGCCACGTTTAAAAATAAATAAATATTCACCTTGGTCGAATTCCTTAACCCAATTTTCTTTCACTCCTCGTTAATAGTTATCTTACTATGAAAATCTTAACCGGAAGTTTTAGTTTTCCTCCGGCTAGTTTGATGAACTCACAACCAGTCCTATCAAACTTCACTCACTGGGATCTCACGTCGCTCTGTAAAGCTACTGTCTCTTTGCGATGGAGCGGAAAGTTGCTCGGGAATTTCGGCACAAGGTAAGAGAGAAACATTATTCTCCTCGATTAGTCGGATAGATATATCCTTTTATTTGATATTAAATTGACATAAAAAAAGCTCCTCTCCTACCTGGTTTATCCCCTCACCCGGCTCAGGTGTCTCTTGGTTAGGCCTGACCTATGGGCCTGACCGAAAGCTTCACGAAAACAAACAAACAGTTAAAATCCTTTAAATTGTTTCTGTTAAAACGCTACTTTTCAAAGAACAACTAACTCAACTCTAACTGAAATCTAAAATTGATATTGTGTGTGGGAGTGTCTTCTGGGGAACATAACATATCATTAACTATTTAAGCCCATAGGAGAAGTAATAGACAACACTATAAGAGTCGCACGTAGATTAATGTGTTTTCATTCAACAAAATAAGTGGTTTCCTTGGGTTGTTTATTATTAGACGAATTTCATAGGGATCTTTACAGTCCCAGCATCTGTTTTGTTGGATTGTACTTAAAGGCATATCTCTTATTGGTTATGAACACAATATGGGCTTCAGTGGATCTATTTTCCTTTCAAGCTTACATGTTCTAAGAAGCTATATAGACAGACATCCTTTATTTACCTGTCTATGCCTCTTCAAGATTATGTAAACATCATACAGATGAGGTCCAAGGTACAATAAATGCTATTTAAATGTGTGGCTTTATGAATCAAGCATAATTTATACCATGTTTTTGTTGTTGGTGTTGGCACATAACAGCCCTGAAATGATGAGTAAAAAATAACAGGGGATGGAAACATGATATCTTCAGTGTAGGGATCCTCGGACAGCCATCTGTGCTGCATTCAGGCAGGCAGTGCCACATATTACAGGCGCTTCACAAAGGGCAAATTAGCATTAGATAATGCAGAGCGTACCAGAGATGAGCAACTGAGCGAAGAGATGGGACAATTTACGAGTTTAATTAGAGGCTAAGGGACTAACAAGGCACAATGGGGCTTTGTTTCTTTTTAGGACATTATCATAGTCCCCTTTTCATTATGTGAAAACAATCTGAAGCTCCAAACTGAATGGTGCACTTTTAAAAATTGGTATGTGACTGAGCAATTCTATCTTTCCTTATTGGTTTATGGTGCCAAAGTCTACATGAAGGAGTGGCCGGCTGTGCCTCACTGCCCTGAGCAGAAGACATTTATGACAATCATAAATGTGATGACACACACACACACACACACACACACACACACACACACACACACACACACACACACACACACACACCCCACACACACACACACACACACACACACACACACACACCCCCCCCCCATCACAGCAGGGTCCACATAGTGCAGTGCAGTCCTACATTTATTATCATTATAGTCCAATGATTTAACCCCAACATTATACACACGCGACTGAATGTGCGTGTGTACATCCGTTGTTTGCAGATCTGTGTTTGAGTCTGTATGGCATAAGATGTGGTGTGCGTGTGTGATTGTTTGGTGTGAATGTTCACCTCAGTTTGTGTCAGAGATGTAAGATGATACTGCTGACCTTCCTCCTTCAGCCTCTCCTCCACTGTTCTGCCATTATTCTCTCCCAGTAGTTTGATGGTTAGGGTAGGGCTGTCCATTACAACTGCTTCAGTCCAAGGAGTCTCATCATCCTCAAAGCCAAGTTTGAACCACAGCTCTGAAAAAAGAAAAACACCTCAGGTTGAGTTTGAGGAGCATTTTTTAGTTTGGGAACAATTTAGAAGGACTTAAAGTGAAATGTGTTATATCAGTGATTGGCCAAAGCGTTTCCTCAAAACCATTCTGTTGCAGCTGAGCCGCCATCAGGTTTGTATGACTCCTGCACACACTCAAACACTCACACACACACTGATGGCTCACCCCCCTATGGTGTTGACAGGACCACAGCAGAGAGGTGTGTTTGATTCAGCAGTGAGAGGAACATTGACACCAGATGTTTGTCCTTTCTTGCAGGTGGAGCTGCTGATTGAAAATGAAGCAGAGAACGATTACTTGTATGATGTCCTCCGCATGTATCACCAGTGAGTACCAGTGGTTTAATTGTCTGTAGACCTGCGTAAAAGTTGAATTTCCTTTGTTGATTTGTCTCATTTTCAGGTATATAGTCCTCTATGAAAGAAATGCTTGATAGTTTTGTGTCCTTAACATTTTGAAGCAGAACTGATCAACAGTGTTGCTAGTTGAACTTATGTGGCATTTAAAAAAGATAGTATAATCTAAGATAAAATTCTAGATTTGTTCATAATTTCAACTTGGTCTCTGTTGCCGTTTAACCTCTACCTGATCATCGACAACTTTTCTACTCTATGTATAGTTTCCAAAAGCTCTTTATCATGTCAGCCTTGTTGTGATACACACATACCTCTCCAGGTTAAACTCTGTGCTCCATCATGTTTCTGATAATAGCCTTGCCTCAGAGGGCTGGGATGGGGGTGCACTTGANCTGCAAAGATTTGATGGTAGCTGTTGCTGTCTTTTTTGTTGTTGTTAATACTGAAATAGAGACCTGCTGTTTTTTTTTTTTAAATGTCGATACAGTAGCAGCTACTGTATCGACATTTAAAAAAAAAAAACAGCAGGTCTCTATTTCAGTATTAACAACAACAAAAAAGACAGCAACAGCTACCATCAAATCTTTGCAGAGCCTAAAAGATAATCATAAATAAAAAGTGAAAATAAATATATTGCAATGCTCAAAAGAGCAGCATCCAACCGTTTCTAATCATAAAAAAACACAATACAAATACATGTATTGCAATGTGCAAAACAGCAGCATCCAACAGTCTCTAATCCTTGGATATTACATGTCACTGCATGCATGCACGGAGCACCCGTAGCACGGAGATCATCATATCATTCCGTCTTGTATTACTTAACAAAAATAAATAAATAAAAAGAACTCTTTGAGCCGGCTCGTTCGCGACCGACACATCACTATGTAGTATCACTGCTAATGAACAGCCCCATGTTTTCATGCTGCACATGCCCCCCACTCTCTATCCCAGCTCCCTCCTCAGGGCGCCGGCTCCTTCGGGCTCCTCTTTGACATTGATGGGGTGCTGGTGCGGGGCAGGACCCCCATCCCTGCAGCCAAGCAGTGCTTCAAGAACCTGGTGGACCGCCATGGGAAATACAAGGTGCCTGTGGTGTTTGTCACCAACGCTGGGAACTCCATGAGGCAGGCTAAAGCAGAGCACCTGTCACATCTGCTTGAGGTGGAGGTAGCTGAAGACATCATTTCCCTTTTCCCTTTTTAGTCCTCAGCTTGCACTGTTTTGTTTTTCTCTGACATCCATATTATTTCGCAGGTGACTCCAGACCAGGTGATGCTGTCTCACAGTCCTTTGCGAATGTTCACCGATATCCATAAAATGCGGGTGCTGGTGTCGGGACAGGGTCCCATAGAGGAGGTCGCTCACAAGTATCCTGTCTTAAATCGGGAACTCTGCATTTGTGCACTTACCTCTTGAAGTTGACCTATGAGAGAAGTGTGCATGTTCTGTTTATTCACTGTATTTTTGCTCGTGTTCCACGTTGTTATCAGTGTTTAATCTTTGTACCCTTTGTTCCCTTTGCTGCCTATTTGTCTCAGTGAGGCCCTTTCACAGATGTATTGCCTTTTGTCAAGTGTAGGTTCAATTCAATTCAATTCAATTCAAGTTTATTTATATAGCCCAAAATCACAAATCATATTTGTCTCAGAGGGCTTCACAAGTCAACAAACACAATTGGCAATGTAAAACAATGTAAAAACAACAAACGTATCTTACAAGATCAATGTGAAAATACGAATTTAGAAAGGAACATAACACAATGACACAAATACAGTTAGAGTACAATAAATACAATTCCATAAAACGAAGGGTCCATGAGGATGTATAAAAGGGGGTTTAAAACCAGTCTTAACTGTACGCTGTACTAAAGAGGAAAGTCTTTAACCTACTCTTAAATGTGTGGACACTGTCTGCCTCCCTAATCGACACTGGAAGTTGATTCCAGAGGAACAGGGCTTGGTAACCGAAAGCTCTAGTACCTGACCTTTTTTTGTGGACTCTGGGAACCACCAACAGACCTGCACTCTGGGATCTTAATGCCCTAGAGGGGCAATAGGAGATTAAAAGATCCTCTAGGTAGGATGGTCCCTGACGATTTAGCGCTTTGTATGTGAGTAAAAGTATTTTAAAATCCATCCTGGACTTAACTGGTAGCCAGTGCAATGCTGCTTAAACAGGAGTGATGTGGTCCATCTTTTTTGTTCCTGTTAAAACCTGTGCCGCAGCATTTTGTATGAATTGAAGGGTCTTTAATGATGATTTTGGACAGCCTGATAAAAAGGAATTGCAATAATCCAGCCTGGAGGTGATAAAAGCATGGATTAGTGTTTCTGCATTGTTGTGATTTAGGATGTGCCTGATTTTTGCAATATTCCGTAGATGGAAGTAGGCAGTCCTTGAACTTTGCTTTATATGGGATTTAAAAGACAAATCCTTGTCAAAAATAACACCAAGATTTTTTTACCATGGTGCTGGAGGTTAAGGTAATACAATTAGAAGAAATTATGTTGTTGGACAGTTTGTTCCGAAGGTGCCGGGGGTCAAGTATAATGACTTCTGTTTTGTCAGAGTTTAATAATAGAAAGTTGCTAGTCATCCATGTCTTTATGTCTGTGAGGCATTCTTGCAGTTTTACTAAGGAAAATTGTACATCTGGTTTAATTGATAGATACAATTGTGTATCATCTGCATAACAATGAACATTGATGGAGTTATTTCTTATGATATTGCCCAATGGTAGTATATATATGATGAACAGGATGAGTCTAAGTACAGACCCTTGCGGTACTCCATGACTGACTGTAGTTTGTAATGAGGATTCATCGTTGACAGATACAAACTGAGACCGTTTTGATAGATATGACCTGAGCCAGCTTAGTGCAGTTCCCCTTATACCTATCAACAACTCTAATCTTTGGAGTAGTATNAGGAGAGATATGGTCGAAGTACAGCCTTGCGTATCCGATGACTGACTGTCAGTTTGTAATGAGGATTCATCGTTACAGATGCAAACTGGAGAGCCGTTTGAATAGATATGCACCTGAGCCAGCTTAGTGCAGTTCCCCTTATATCCTATCAAACAACTCTATCTTTGGAGCTAGTCTGTTATGGTCAATAGTGTCAAAGGCAGCAAACTCAGATCTAACCAGAAACCAGGATAAAGAGGCAAAGTCCCATTATGCGCACAGGCAGATGCACAACAAGCAGGTCATTTGTGACTTTAAACCAGTGCCTGTCTCTGGTGCTATGAGTTTTCTAAACTGACTGGAATTTCTCAAACAAACAATATTTGAATATAAAAATGCACACAATTGTCAGGGCCACTGGCTTTCTCGAGGATTTTTGAGAAGGAAGGGAATTGATATTGGCCTGTAGGTGGCCCTAACCTCAGGATCAAGTTTTTTTTTTTTTATAATAGGTTTAATTACAGCTACTTTAAATGACTGTGGAACATAGCCTGACAGTAAAGATATATTCATCATATTTAATACAGGTGTATTAATTAGGGGTGCAATTTCCGTGAACAGCTTATGGAACAGGGTCTAAGATACAGGTAGATGCTTTTAGAGGATGAAATAATTGAATTTAGTTGGTTTTGGTCTATAGGAGAGAAGCACTCTAAGTATATGTCCGGTGTTAAAGGTGATTCAGTGCTGGCTAAGGGTAGGTGGTGGTTTATTTTGTCCCTGAGAGTTATAATTGTATCATTAAAGAAGTTCATAAAGTCATTACTACTGATGGATGTAGGAATAGAAGACTCAATGGAACTGTGACTCTCGGTCAGCCTGGCTACTGTTCTAAAAAGAAACCTGGCATTGTTTTTATTTTTCTTCTATTAGGGAGGAATAATAAGCTGCTCTGGCAGTGCGTAGTGCCTTCTTATATTTTTTAAGGTTTTCAAGCCAGAGTAACCGAAATTCTTCATGCTTGGTAGAGCGCCATTTCCTTTCAAGTTGCCTTGTCCTCTGCTTTATTATGCGTGTTTCATTGTTATGGTTGTCATTCATTTAAGTCAATCTATGGATTTCCCATCAAGTCTTAGAAAAAGCCAGTTCTTAAGGCCTTCTTAGTGTATTGATAAATACCGTAAGTAAGTCAAGTGTGTTTACTGTAACTCTTGCTCATCTGTGTTTGACTTTAACCCACTTCAGCCTGGGCTTTCAGGATGTTGTTACCATAGATATGCTCAGGGATGCATATCCTCTTCTAGATGTCGTAGATCACAACAGAAGGCCCAAGGACAAGGTAAGTAGTATTAATAGTCAAGCCTGTTGATTTTCAGTTACAGATTAGTGTGACATTTTAACAATTGTGTATCATATTTTACAGATTCCCCCCACAAAAGGCTTACGACCAATAGACGGTAAGTTTTAGCCTTAAGTGTGATTCTTAAGCATTGATTAACAATTCCTAACAAACTCAGGAATGGTTGTCTTATGTTTCTCCCTTCTTCACCTGTGTGTTCCTACAGCTGTCATCCTATTTGGTGAGCCAATCAGATGGGAGACCAACCTCCAGCTTATTGTTGATGTCCTCCTGTCTAACGGGAACCCAGACAATGTTTGGAACGCGGCGCGGTACCCTCACATCCCACTCCTGGCCTGTAACATGGACCTGCTGTGGATGGCCGAGGCGAAGAGTCCCAGGTACAGTATGTGTAAAAAATACACACTGAAACATTATTAAGGGTGTTATTATACTGAATGTCCCTGTGTCATAGGTTTGGTCACGGTATGTTCCTGGTGTGCTTAGAGAGCATGTACAAGAAGGTCACAGGCTTTGATCTGAAGTACGAGGCTCTGATCGGTAAACCCAGCGTGGTGACGTATAACTACGCCGAGCTGCTGATCAGAGAGCAGGCCAAGAGGCTGGGCTGGACCACGCCTGTGAAGCGGCTGTATGCTATAGGGTGAGTTGCTCAGTCGGCTCATGACCTTAGACCCACATTTGTCCTTAAAGCGATAGTTCAAACTGTTTAAAGTGGAGTAGTTTGAGTTTGTCCATAGGGAAGCAATACACTGCTGAGTACAGGGCTGGCAGGAAAATGTATATTATAATCATTATCAGCTTAAGTGTATGCCATGACTGATTTTAAATGCCATTTTCTTAATGTCTTTCATTTTTTGTAAAGCACTTTGAATTGCCTTGTGTTGAAAAGTGCTATATAAATAAACTTTGCCTTGCCATATTTAGAATATTTACTTTGCAGAGAGAGCCCTTTCCTACAGGGAACTGAAGCTGAATCAGAATCAGAATACCTTTATTAGTCCCACAGAGGGGAAATGTACATAGTTCTAGCAGAAAAAGAGCCACAGACAGCTTAATGTTACATATGTTACATGCATTAAAGTACTAAGTTATGATATAATACAAAATATAATAAAAGAACATTTAAAAAAAGTTACATCATTTTCAAAATGCACATCTTGTAACAGTTCTTAGGATTTAGCAGGCAGGTATATATTACACAGTTATTAACGGCATATATATATATATATATATATATATATATATATATATATTGCGCATATAGCACATAGTTGGATGAGTATTATATAGATAGATAGTATATATATACACAATTTACAAAATACACATCTTGTAACAGTTCTAAGGATTTTAGCAGCCAGGTGTATATATTACAGTTATTAATGGCATATATATATATTGCACATATAGCACATATTGCACGTAGTTGGTTATAGTCATGAACAGTCATTTTACTCTTTATATGGAGTTGGTGGTCTCATACTGCCTTAATTGGTTTGTTTTTCAGTTATTGTGTAACTTGTGTTTTTCTATCCTGTCTTTAAAATGGTGGAGCCAGCTCCCCATTGTAGCAGGAGAGCACAGTCAACACATCGTATGTCTCAGACTGCACCTTGGCCTATAACATCTATCAAAGAATATTTATAACTATATATACAACTCTTCTCATTTCTGTATGTCGCACTATTTGAAGCATATGTACTTGCAGGACTCTTGCTGTTCTGAATTTGCCCTCATGTAGATAAAAGCATCAGCAAAATTAAAATCTGAAGGGTTGGCTCTGATTCACCAAAGTCAAGTAAGAGCTCTTTTTAATGTGTTGCCACTTCATCTTTTTAACAGTGATAACCTCATGTCGGACATATACGGCGCCAACCTCTACGACCACTACCTTCAGGCTTCCCAGCGCACCAAGGCCAAGATGCAGGCCAAGAGTGGGGGAGGAGGCTCAGAAACTGTTGAAGACGCCCTGAAAATGACCTCAGCAGAACTGGGCGGAGCGTCAGGTGTGCACAGGACAGAGGGGGACCTCCCTGAGGGCTGCAGCTCCATCCTGGTGTGCACAGGAGTGTACAGCAGAGAGATGGGGCTGCCCTCAGACCCTGCCCACGCCGTGAAGGATCAGCCCACCTTCCACGGCCACAGGGACTTCCGCTTCGACCCCAGCCTCACGGAGCCGACCTTCCTGGTGGAGGATGTGAAGGAGGCGGTGGAGCTGGTGTTCCAGCAGGAAGGCTGGCCTCTGGAGTAGGATGAGCGGCTTCATCAATAACAGCCGTCCAGAAAACAACTGTAACCATCCTAAACCGGTAGCTGCACCATCTATAAGAGTTGTTTTGTTACTAACATCCGTCCCTAATCCTGACTGGGGATATGAAGCTGTTTCAGTGGCTTGTTTTTACAGATTTTTATAAAGTGCCGTAGAATTAAATGCAAACAGCAACAGTATGCAATCCTTTTTAAGTTGGTCATGTTTGATAGTGTGTCACAGACTGCTACAGTATTTATATTGCACAACACATCCACAAACACACACAATTGCCCTACCTACTACTACTACTACTGTATATGTCAATTGATCAAGTAGAAAGTGTCCATTCTTGCCTTTTTTATGCAGCTTTCTCTTTTTATAAAACGCACATGGATTTTAAGGAAGTCTAGGTTTTGAGTTACTAAACTGACATTTATAGAGTACTGTAAGTTCATGTATGATTGTTAAAACATATTTACACGTTTACCTGGATAACATTCAGAATAATCCAGAAAGACCTTATCTTGCCTTTCCAAAATATACCTAGACCATTTCTGCAGTTTTTTTTACTGCTATCATATTTCAGCTTGATTTGTTTTTGCATGTGGAACCACTAATGGTGATAAGATTAAGTTGGTTTCAGTTTAGTACCTCATACATTTTAACCTATGTCCAGAGTAATGTCATTTTATTTTTGTTTTTTTGGGGGGTATTTTTTTAATTTATACACAATATCACAGTTTCAAAAGAATGTGCTTTTTTGTCGTCTGATGGTTAAAGTCTAAGGGAAATAGTTTGAAATGTTAATTGAAATGTCAGTAATACAATATTTTTGTTGAAGATTAATAAAGTATTTACATTAAAGTACTACTGAAAATTAGACAGGTTTGTTATATCTGTAATAATATAACATATTATAATAAAGTGTATTATTAAATTGAGTCTTTATTCAACTTTATTCTACAGTGATAATTAAGTAGAATCTGCAGGCTACCTACTGGGTACAACTGTGAAGCACTGGTAATGTACTGAAAAAGCCATATTGAATAAATAACAATTAAAAGGATGAAAGACACAAAATGTTGCTTGTCAAGTCGAATATTCTGTGTACTGTAGTGCAGTTTTAGTACAGTCCTCCAGCTGAGGTGTGAAATCCTCTTAACTTATCCTCTGAATATACAAAACATGTTCGATAAGCAGCCGCCATTTAAAACCTGTTACTTATTCAACAACGTGCATAAATATTCAATGTCAAAATATATACAACACTTTCACACACACACACAATGCAACATGTAGTTTCTTCTAAATTGTCAACCCTATTTTCCAAACAAAAAGCAGTTGCAGTCCGCTCAGCAGCCACACTTCCTGTCTGAAGACTCGGAGCCGTTGACCGAGTGGGAGCTGTTACTCAGCATGAATTGAGGCGAGTCTTGGGGTATCTCGTCTGTGATGGTCATGCCGTTGCGTGCCAGCAGCTCCCGGGCCATGAGGATGAAGGCTGCCTCCACGTTCTGGGCCTCCTTGGCAGAGGTTTCTAGGGCAGCCAGCACGCTGTTGTTTTCTGCCAGAGTGCACGCCTCCTCGAACAAAACCTGCCTCTGAGCTTCAAGGTCGGACTTATTACCTGCAGGGATTAGCAGAGCAGGCAATCAGAAAGAACACAAATAACAGCTTTATTATCAATTTAACACGGTCAGGAAAATAGCAGACTTTTTTATGAGATTCCAGTGTAATGTGTTAATATCTTCTCCGACCAACACTAAAAATACTGAGTTAACTGCCCTAAATGAAAAAGGAAAACATAACATCCTCAGATTGTAGGAGATGGAACTAGAAGAACACTTATTCTTGAAAAAATCGTATTGATTTTCAATTATATATAATCTTTCAATTTGCAAACCATGTAATCTAATGATTGTTTATCAACATAAAAGACCAACAATCCAAAACCCTAAATATTCTGTTTACAACTGTTTGAAAGCTGAAACCAGAGAAAGAATGGATTCATTGGTTGATCAATCAAAGTCACAAAGAAAAAACAGTTTACCAGCAATGTATTGTCCTGAAGTCTAGGAATATGTTGAAGAGTTTACAGGCATACATAAAACCAATTTATTTTCAATCTACTTACCAATGAGGATCAGCACCACGCCGGCAGCTCCAAACTGCTCCACCTCTCTGATCCAGAGGGGAACAGAGTCAAACGTGGAGCGGCGTGTGATGTCATAGGCCACCATCGCCCCGTGGGCACTGCGGTAGTAACTCTGAGTTATGGTGCGGAAACGCTCCTGACCTGCTGTGTCCCATATCTGAATCTGCAATAACAACCCCAAAACATCCAATATCACTGACATACAGGGGCGGACTGGCCATTGGGAATACCGGGAGTTTCCCCGGTGGGCCGGTGCTGTGTGTGGGCAGCGGCTGTACGGCTGTACCCGTAGGATAGAAAAGGGGGAAGTGACATCTGACTTAGAGGTCGCGCGGCTGTGGAGAAGAACGTGTTGCCCATATTCTGTTACTGAGTTTAGGCTAGTTAGCTAGCAGGTTTATTGTTTTGGGTGCAGTCACTTTTGCCTCCACTTGCTGTTCAAATAAATGTTGAAAGAAAAAGTAAATCTGTTTACAGTTCTGTTTTATATGGGTGTTGAAAAAGAAGAAGAATTGGGAGGGATGAAACCCTCTTTAATGGTCACACATGCAGAGCACACAGCACACACAGTGAAATGTGTTCTCTGCTTTTAACCCTAGTACCAGGAGTCTAGTACTAGGAGGCAGCTATTGTACAGCGCCCGGGGAGCAATGGGAGTGAGGGGGGAAGGGGGATGTCCGGTGCCTTGCTCAAGGGCACCACGGCAGTGCAGGAGGTGAACTGGGACCTCTCCAAGTAGAAGTCCACACTCTAAATGTAGGTCTGGTCGGGGACTTGAACCGGCGACCCTACGGCTCACAGTCCAAGCCCCTACTGACTGCCATAGATTTAGTCCCTAATTTTGCTCTCAAAGTGCACCAGATTGATGCATTTAACTTCAACATTTAAAGCTCCGGACCCCCCTAGAAGAGGTGAGGACCACCACCTGCCCACACCCCCTGTTAAATTGTCTCACCCACATTGAGGATGCTTCCTACGCCCATGTTTTATTCCATGTGTCAAGTCAGGCAAATTGGGTCAAAATGTTATTGCATCAATGAAAATGTTATTGTATCAATGATCTGTTAACATTAAAATCACTAAATATATGCTGTAACTATTTTGCTCTAGGCAACTCAAGGGCTCAGGTAATGTGATTACTATATGAATAATTGTCCAAAATAACATAAAATGCATAGGGTTTTTTGTTAAGTACATACTTTCGTCGCTGGCCGGCCGATACATGCCGTGCATTAAGTGGACCTGTCTGTCAATTAATCCCCGGCCACTTTTTCCTCCCAGTCCGCCCCTGCTGACATAGTTACAAAACGTGCCTATGAACATGAGTTAGTCAGATGTGCTGTTAAAGACTCTGAAAGCAATCCGTCCTTTTTTTTAATTACTTTGCCTGTGTGTTGACTAACCCTAACTAATAAGCATAATAAGACAAACAAGCAGTTGACAAAAGAACACACCCAGAAAGCTAACACACAGGCCGTTCTTAGGGAACATTAAGGCACTCCTCTTTCTCTTAAGGAGAAACAAATACTGATCAAGCAAAGGGAGTATTTACTTTAAGACAAGAGTAAGTACACACACATCTTATATATTCATATTTCTGTTAAATATGTTAAGTTATACCCAAATTGTGTTGTCACATACCTTGACCTTCTTGCCATCGATGTCCAGGGTGCGAACAGTAAAGTCCACCCCGATGGTGTTCTGCTGCTTTCCAATGAAAATGCCAGACTTGAAGCTCTGGACCACACAGGTCTTCCCCACGTCTGAGTCCCCAACCAGGATGATTTTGAAAAGAAAGTCGAAAGAGTCCTCAATCTCTGGCCCTGCAGACTGCATGGTGAAGGGAGGAATATGTTCACAATAAACCCACTGAGGCTGAAACACAGGATTATGTGCCTCTATGCAAAAGAACTGGTTCAAGTTGTGTCAATAGAAAACTGGCACTATTTACAGGCACATCCTAGTCATAAAAAGAGGAAAATCAGGTTTATATCAGCTGTAGTAGAACAGTCAATGTGTTTCCAGCTGAAAAATGTGTGATCTGCAGGTAAAGAGCCAGTCAGAGATCAAAATAAATCCCTATAAATGATGAAAAATCCCAGTTTTTATCCAACATTGCGTTTTCTGTCATGTTAAACCTCATTCACCAACTCTATCCAGCTCCAAAATCAACTTGATTGTCCCATAGCAGAGGATTAAAGTTCCCTTTTTGCCATCCAAAAGTTGTTATTCATCCTGCGCTTGTTTCCATGTCTTTGCTACGCGACACATTCTTAAAGTCTTGAAGAACAGTCTGCCCTGCTGCCCTTTAGACTGTCACTGTTTCTGCCTTCCACTTCAATTCTGACACATAGACCCGCCTCCTACCTGTCTTGGTAGGTGTGACCTCCAACTGCCAGCCCACCTGCACCACTGCATCTTGGGATATGGGTTTTCTTTTCACGCTCTGTAATAGGATGCAATACCTGAAAGAGGCAAAAATAAAGTTAAGTGACCTGAAATATTGTTCATTACAAAAAGTACTGGTTAAGCATAAATAGATTTTAGATGGATTTAAAAATATTGAGATCTAGTTGGATTTGTTACAAACTAGTTATGACATTTAGTTTAGAGTAAAAGTTACACAGACTACAAAGTGCTGGCTCAGTGTGCAAATACCCCAAAGCAAACAGCTTAAACTACTTCTGAAACTTAACGTAATGTAAAAACTTGACATTCGTCTTAACAGCTGTCCTTTGGACCACAGAAACTTTTTGTACCTTTAAAATCGCCTAAACTATGAGCCCCCCGGCTGACTGCTGTCAACTAACACATTCCACAGCACTCCACAATAGAGAGAGCTAAGCGTAGCACGAGCAGGAACAAACCACAGGCACTTAGAAATGATGTATTTAAAGACAGGATTATCTAACTAAAAGTGTAATTGAAATGTTTTTACCTCAGGCTGCACACATTGGTATCACAGTGAGATGTTAACACAGAATGAGCATTCAGCTCTGAATCAGTCTCTCTCTCTCTCCACCCCCTCTCTTGTTCTGTCGTCATCTCAGCCCACAGAAGAACAAGGCACAGCTGGACACAGGACAATGTGTGAGTGTGAGGGGCACTTGACCGAGCTGGGTCTATCTTTGGTTGTGACCACCAGCCACCTCCTTTCCGTAGTGTGGTTGATGCCTGATTAGATGCAATGAATGTGGTTTTGTTGACCATTTCGTGATGGCACAAATAAGACAACAGTGAAAAAATAACATTGATAAAGCCTCTTTTATCAACAGGATACAACAAAATAAACTCCATTGTTTAAATGTCCAGTCATAATGCTATGTACACGCGCCTTTATTATGGTATAAAAGCTGGGTGCAGTATAAGAATAAATTATAAACATGTTTGTAAAATCATAACAATCCCCAAGACACATCCTTACAAACAATCTAATATGAGCTGGTGCATTATTACAATATTGTCCAGTGTTCAAAAATACAACAAATGAAAATGTAGATATGGAAGCTTAAATACCACATCCATAAAAGTGAACAGAAATACTTCTGTGATTCAGCAGTCTCAGTTCAGGAGCTGTTGTGGTTGATGAATCATATTTAAGCAGTAACAGAGCAGCCATATCAGTCACACACATGTCAGCTGTGTCATCTCCTCTGCAGCACCTGGGTGGCACTCGCAGAGTTCCTCAGTCTCAGAGCGCTGGCGGCGCTTTGTTGGCTCCTCTGAGGTTTCTTGCCAGATGTGTTATTCAGTTCTTTCTCCACAGGAGGGACGTGAATCGGCTTCCATGGGATTGGATTGTAGAAGCCTGGTGACGGGAGGTATTTCTCATATGGACCTAAAATAAATCAAAGCTATAAGAAGCTGATACATAACAAATTCAAAATACTTGTCTTAGCTAGGCAAATTAAAGATGTAAGATATAATCACATTTGATCCCGTCTGGAACTAACTCAAAAACAGTTACATTTCTATAGACATCCAATCCAATTATTAGCTTAAATTATGTATTTAATATTTTTGTATCACAGAATACCTTTATATATATATATATACAAAGTTATATATAGTATTTTATAACACGGTTTTAAAAAATGAACACTGTCAGTTTGTTTTTTTAGTTTACATAATCATCAGGGTTATTTCTGTCTTAAAGGTCCCATGTCATGGCCATTTCTACTGATCATAATTCCATTGTTGAGGTCTACTAGAATAGATTTACATTGTTCAATTTTCCAAACTTACATTGGTTTCTCATACAGCATCTCTGTATAGTATGTGTATTCACTCTCTGTCCTACACGGCTTGTTGGAGCTCCTGCCCCCTCCCTGTGAGCCCAGTGTGCTCTGATTGGTCAGCTCGCCCACTCTGTTCTGATGAGTCCATCACCGTTGCAGCAGAACATCAGTGATCATGTGTTACAATGGCGTTAGCAACCAGAAAAGGACACCAGTAATGACAAACAGATGAGAATGCTGCGTGGGGTCTGGGTGCCGTGTTGGCGGGACGTTGCGGGGCTCGCTGCTGGAGAGGACAGTGTCCCCCCCCAGCGCGTCACAGTTTGGCCACTGACCGCTGAGAGAGTGTGTGTGTGTGAGGAGCTCTACGGATTGGTCCATTTGGACGAAACAAATGGAAAAAGAAAGATCTCCAACGAGGCGTTCTGGGGCAGCATAGACAGGTGTTTTCTGTGTTAGAGTTGTACCAGCTACAAGGTGTACTTTGAGGGTTTGTGACTCTGCAGACCGTTTACATGCATAAAAAGCTACATAACACACAAGGGGACGGGTAATAACCGGAAAAGCATGACATGGGACCTTTAATACATTTCAGTTATTTATTGAATGAAATGATCTTACTTCTCGTGTAGCAGGGTGATTGGGGACTAGCTTTGGTTTTTTCATTAGCTTTTGCCAGCCAGTCCTTAAACTTCTCCTCTGCCCTCTGACGGCGCTCCTTCTCCTGCTCCTCCTTCAGGGCAGCTTCCTCCTGTCAAGATTAAAAATAAATATATGTATCAGTCTATTTCTGCTCATGAATAATCTTATTACATTCATCTCATAAAAAGATCCACATTACCTTCTCCTTCTTTTCCATTTCAATTTTTTCCTGGTTTTTCTTCTGCAGCCAGTCTTTGTATTTTTGTTGAGCTTTCTGTTCTATCTCCCTCTGTTTCTCGTGCTGCCTCTGTATCTCCTCCTCCTCTTTCCTCAGTTTTAGAAGTTGCTCTTGCTTCTCCTGAGATTGAAAAGAGAAAACAAATAAAAGACATGTTGTCAGCATTGGATAGTGTACCAATTACAGCCAAAACACTATTGTGCTTTATGTGTTTTAATGGAGTTTAAAGTATATATGAGTCATATACCTGTTCTCTTTTCATCTTTAGCCAAATTTGGATCCTCTCTTCCATGACAATCTTTTTCTGTTCCAGCTCCCTTTCTTCATGTGCTTTATTTTCCTTTTTTAACCACTCCTATTTTAAGGAACATGAAATGTTGAGATTCAGACCGGATGCAATAAGAAAGTATATTTTGGAAATAAGGAGGAAAGTTATGACTAGCCTTATGGACATATTTAAAGAGCAAAATAACATAAGGAAAGTACACACTTGTACATGATAAAAAAAGTTAATTCACTGTTGCTTGCCTCTTCTGCTTGTTTTTCTAAATGTAAACGGTCTTCTTTTGCTTTGCTAACCAGCCACTTTTCCCATGCACTAAGAGGCTCCACAGCTGTATCCAACATCTGCACTGAGGGCGTTCTTGGTAGCTCACATCTATAACAGAAACAGATGTACAATGTATGTTGTCTCTCTATAATGCACCCTGTGGTCTTGGTTCCGAAAGTATCTTAAGCCTGAATAATTGTTCGGTACCTGACTGGTGAAAGGCTGAGTCTGGATGAGTCGCTCAGCCTGGGGGAAGCCCGCGGGCTGGGCTCCAGGTCTTCATCACTGTCGAAACTGTCGTGGTATATGGGAGAGAGCAGAGAGAAAGTGTCTTCTTCGTCGGACAGCACGTCGTCGTCCAAACCCTTTGATATGTGCAGGTATTTCCCCTGGATGGTTTTGACAGGGGTGGAGCTGAAGCACTGGGACGCAGAGGCAGGAAAGTTCGGCATCTTCCGGCCAGACATTGCTAGCCGATATCTAAGGTCGACACATGAGAATGTTTTCCATAAGTTACGCGTGTTGTCTGAAAACTAATGCCAAAGATCTATGCAGCTTTTTGGATACGCCTATAACACAAACAAGCGAATGCTAAGCCTTATGGCAACAGGTCGTTTTTACGGTTAGCAAAGAGGGGGTAGCGTTAGCACTCGAAACTAACAGCTAGCTTTAGCTTTGGTTAGCAACATTAGCTTTATTATGTAACGTGCTACGAACGTTTAATGGTTAGTTTCAAACTAGCCATCTCCATGTATGATGTGTGCAGGTCTCTTATTAACTGTACAACATTGCAAACATTTTATAACCTACCTTTTTTACGTGTATTTGAAGAAAAGCCTGCTTTGCTCGTCGTTTCCCCCAACGCTAGAACTGATTTCCAACCAACTTTTTTCCCCATGATACACCACGCCCCCAAGCTCAACTGGACGCTGCTTCTGTAACCATGGTGAAGCCTGACGCCATGGATACCAGCCGTCTGTCTTTACAACATTATTTCCTTCTCAAAAATAATATGTCTGTGTTATTGACATTGTTTATCATTATTTATTCAAAATAGTGTGGCATGTCAAAAAAGGCCCACTATAATTATTGTATATTGGCCAATTAGCCTACTAGGACCTACTAATATGAAATAAGGTTCAAACATTGATTGCATTTTTTTTACATTGTCCCACACTTATCCCTTCTTTCATACTGGTCAGTTTTGGTTATCTCTAAATAGCTTGGTACCCGATTGGTAATGCAACAATTAATTTATAAACAATTTTTGTTGAGACAAATATCTCTTGGCCCTCAAACAAACAGTAAAAAGGGAGTAGAGTTTTCACGGTCTTTGAATCAACAACATTATTCCAGTGTTATTCTGTCCAGTGCTGTTTGGTTGAGTCAGACAACATGTTTACTCCCTACTGCAAAAACAGGCAGTTATTGTTGATCCAGCCGCCCTGATCCAGTTAAAGTTGACCGGGCTGTGCACTCGGTCACACTAGCACTTAACATTTTCAGTCTAATTATCAGCAGGCGTTTCAAATTGAGCTTGTACTGCTTTCACATAGAGATGTGGCATTTTGCGAGTCGGATTCACTAAATTAATTTGTTGTCTTTTTTATATGTTGTGAACTTGTGATGCTAAAGCCAACTAAGCATTCTGTGTTGATTGTTGATGATCATTTAATCTGTGACTTTTTGCATTACAAAATAATATTTATGTTTGAATAAACAACATTTGCTTCATTTAAATCAAGATCCAACAGATTACAGCTACTGTAAATCTGTACCAGCGGTGGAAAAGTCCTCAGATCTTTAGGGGTTAGGGTTAACCGGGTTAACCAGGTTAAACCCTAACCCTAACCCGGTCAACCCTATATCTAACCTAAAAGTAGTTATACCATATCTTAGAAATACTCAGTAACAATTAAAAGCATTCATACTCATTATGCAGAACGACCTGTTTCAGTCGTACTGGCATATTTTTGATACTTTTTTGTCTGTATCAATGCTTCAGCTGGTAAAAGTGAGTGTACATGCACTTAGTTACTTTCCACCACTGCGCTGTATGAGTCATTAACAGAAACAACATCCACATGACATGACTGTATCTTGTCAGTAATTATACAAATATTTCTGGGATGCTCTCTACATTGCTCCCAGCCTACACTCCTTCTGAATACAATGTTGAATCAAGTGTTAGATCACTGTGAGACAACCACAGTTCTGAGTGAGATCCTGACACAGGAGGACATCGGCCACCAGCACGTGCAGAATGCAAAGAGGTGTGTCTGATCCTAAGTGTCGCCAGAGTCACACCAGGGTGAGGGATTCCAGCTCTGGCTTCTGCTGCTCCTATCCAGTATATGCTCCTATCCTCGAAGGGCAGAGTTCCCTCTCATCAGAGCTCTGCAAGATTCATTAGTTAGCTGAGCAGCCCATCAGCCAGCTCGCTGGCCAGGTGGTATGGTGGTAGGAGACCCAAATAAACTGCCAGATGGCAGAGGCCAACTGCGTCGACACTCCAGGGCCCCTCGTCCAGACCGGGCTCCTCGTCCAGAACATGGACCACCAAGGAAGTCCCGCAAGAAGCTCCAAGTTATCATCTGTGTCCTGCTTGTGGAGCTGTGTGAGAGATTCACTTTCTTTGGGATTGTATGCAACACCATTCTCTTCTGCACGGTGAAGCTGGGATATGATAACTACCTGGCTGCGACCGTCAACCTGTGCTTCATAGGAGCTAGCACCCTGACCCCGGTTCTGGTTGGCTGGTTTGCAGAGACCTGCCTGGGGAGGTCCAAGGTGCTCTACATATGTGCCTTCCTACATTTCTTTGGTAAGACACAATTGAAGTTTATCTGATTTGCTGTTGTGATAAAACTATATGACTTGATTCAAATGTATTCAGTGTTTAGTATTTCCGTATAATGTAAGATTAGATGTCCATTTAGTGTGGGGTGAAATCTGCAAGTTAAGAAAACTGGATATTTATCTGTATGTTTGACTTGAAAAATAAATATCTGACACATTATTCATCATGAGTCTTAACATTTAGTGAGTAAACTCCTTTCAAGAGCAATACTTTTCTTATATTTTAAAACAACTTTTTCAAGTTAAATACAAGATGCGAGGCTCCATCGGGACATAAAACCAAGGTTAATAGAAAAGACAGAAAATGAAATTGGGAAAAAAGATTAAAGAAAACACAAAGCCATCAATAAATAATCCATTCAAAAAATATGAAAACGAAAGCCACTAGGGCTTCATATATTGTATGAAGCCCTTTATTGTAATAAAAGCTAATATACAAAGATCAAAACTTTATATAACCTCTAAACTCTAAATGTATATACCCTCCAAATCCCCCCTTCTGCCAGAAATCCCCACAACAATCTATTAAACGATATTTAAAAGCATAATACCACTGAAAGGAGAGAAACAAATTATCCAAATAAAGCAACCAAATCCCATAAATGCTGATAGTAAAAAAGACAGAGCCATGACTGCTTCTGTTAAGTCACACTGTTATTTAAAATACAACTATGCCGTGACCTTCACCTGTCACTGTGCTTTCTAGGCACAGCCATGCTGCCTGTGGTGGCATTCCCCTTCGAAGATTTCTACATTGACACTCACCACATGACGCACCAGCTGGAACGTCGGGAGCAGCAGATCTTGTTCTACACCGGCCTCCTGGCTGCTGCTCTGGGCATCGGAGGCATCCGGGCCATCCTCTGTCCAATGGGAGCGTACAGCCTGCAGTGCTACAACCAGCACCAGCTCCTGTCCTTCTTCAACTGGTGGGTGCTGGTGCTGTTTAGATGCAGTTATTCAACTGGTTAGCCAATGATAAGACTCCAAACTGTCCATCGATATTGTTAGTTTCATTTAAGAATGATTTATCGTCAAGTTCTTTACAATCAAGTTATACTGTTTACAAATAAGACATGCAAGTTGTTGTATTATTATGGAGAAAAAACAAGAACTATAATGCCCCTGAAATTGGGACTTGAGTTGTAGGGAAGTAAACATGCCAGTGATTAAAAAACTAGACAATTCATTCGAAGAAGAGCATAAATATTTGCTCCAAATTTCCTATGAATCCATTCAATGGCTGTTATGTTAGTTCACTAAACACCTTACATTTCAATGTCATGGTTTTGCAAAAGGCTAAGTCAGAGGATTGCCAAAGTCAGTGTGATTTATCTTCTGGGGACTATGAATACCTCTAACGAATTTCAAATTACACTAGTTATTGAGGTATTAAGTAAGGAAGTGAGTGTATTATTTGCTTTACATTTGTTCAGGTTCTACTGGTTGGTCAACCTGAATTCCACTGTGGTGTTTCTGGGCATCGCTTACATCCAGCAGTCTGTGGCCAAAAATCTGGGCTTCCTTATCCCCTTCACCTCTGTGCTGCTGGCTCTAATCGCCATACACATGATGCGGAACAATCTCACCTACAAACCCAAGAAAGGTAACATACTGTGTATAAAATGTCATTATTAAAGTATTCAGACACACTATACATTACTTGTTTTCAGAGATATGGACTTTAGTCAGACACAAGTTTGACTACTTGAAAAAAATCTTGCAACTTGGAATGGACTTTAACACCATAGTCTTGTAACTTCAACTTAAGCTTTTTGACTTTTGACTTTTTGAAAATACCTGTCGGGCTTCTGAAAAGCCCAAATATTTCACAAATCAAAAAACTTTAGAAGTTATTAGTTAAGTCGAACGCTTGAATCTGAAGATTCACTTGGTTGGAACCAATGAAACAGAATCCAATCATATTTCAGGAGAGAGCCATTAAGAATGTTACGTAACTGAGCACCAGTTGATGATACCAAAGAAAATATCCTATCCTACAGAAATGATATGGTTTTTAAGAAAGAATGAATTGCAGTATAAGATCAGAGACAAGTTAGTACTCAAAATCTTGACTCCACAATGACTTTGGACTTGTTTGTTATTTGCAAAGCAGTTAGTTGGTTCCACCTCTTTTTGTATTTTACTTACACATCAGATCAATTTAACAATTCATTCAATTACTTCATGTGTCTTTCGTTCTGCAGGTGGATCATTATTGACCACACTGGGAGTTTTCTTGAACTCCCTCAAGATGTGCTGCCTCCACTACCGTCACCTGAGCGGAGATGTGGGATCTTGGCTGGACCGGGCCAAGGAGAACAATGGCGGCCGTTACAGCGAGACGCATGTAGAGAACGTCAAAGTCCTGGCCAAGCTCTTCCCTCTGTATGGCCTTCAGCTGCTTTACAGAGCCTGCATCACACAGGTGGTTACATGGAGCACAATGTGGCTTTATTATGAAGCATGTAAAAGGATTGTGTCCATATGCACTGAGGTTAAGACAATGTTTTCTTCAGATTCCCTCAGGGTACTACATACAGACCATGAACTCAAACCTTCACCTGACCAGCCACCTGTTGCCCATCGGTGGCATGAATGTGATCAGTATCATCCCTCTGCTGCTCTTGGCCCCCCTCATAGAGTGTGTGACCACTTACTACCTCTCTGCGGAAAAAGCTCCTCTGGCACCTGCAAAAGTCATCAGTGAGTATTTCTATGTGCACACACGCACATCTCCACTTTTGACATATCATTCTAATGTCTCTCTCTCTTGCTCTTCCGCCTCCCTCTCCTCCCGTACTTATTCTGCAGCCCCCTCTCTTATCACCCCTCCCTGTCCATCCTCCCCTTCTAGCTCTGGGCCATGCATGTGCCACTCTGTCGGTGTTGGTGGCAGGTTTGTCTGAGCTGCATCGGAGGTCCTACCCTCTGGTGGAGCAGACCCTCTCTGGGAAAGTTCTGCAGGTGTCGTCCATGCCGTGTTTCCATCTGGCTCCTCAGTACATCCTGCTAGGTCTTGCAGAGGCTCTCGTCACCCCTGCATGTGAGTGAGGCCAGTGTTTAATGCAGGTTGTCTTTAGCTGGTGCTTCCTGCCTAAAAAGTCCTCTTTATCAAATAAGAACAAACTAACTGAAATACCTTCTGTTGAATTTCCAAAGTTTAGAAATGCTGCCCTATTTGTCATAAATACACAGCGGGGAATAATGACAAAACCTGCTGTCACTTCCTCTCCCACAGGCTCCCTAATATCTTTCCAGCTGACCCCAAGCCACATCAGAGGGATCTCCTTACATTTCCTCACTCTGTCCTATGGAGGGGGCTGCTTCCTGGCAGCCTTAATCGTTCAGCTGGTGTACTTTGTCTCTGGAGGTAAAATGAGAAAATAAAAACTTCCAATAAATTGGCACTGTAATTTGGCTAAAAAACAAAACGTTTTGAGCCTTAGATATCACTGATTCTGATGACTGCATTGATACATGTTTACAGGTAACTTTTACCCAGACGCACTGCATGATGGGAACCTTGAGAGATTCTTCTTCCTCCTGGCCTCACTGATGGCGGTTAATACCCTTGTGTTTTGGCGTGTATCTAAAAGGTGCAGTATTATCTAACTACCTGCCTACACTATAAGGTGGTCTACAGGTTACTATTAGATTATACATTTTATTATCATACTTTAATTCTAACCCTCACTGATTTTTTCCCCAGGTATATAGACCTGAGTGTGCGGGGTAAAGCCCTGACAGTCAGCCCTCTGGCTGAGAAGCTGCTGCACTACAAGGCCTGCCTGCGCTTCTACGACACGGTGGACCGCTCCTACACAACCGCCTCCATCGAATCTATTTTATGAATATCTTAAATATTATCTTTGCTGTTAGTGGCGCTGGCGCTGCATTTTACTATGTCAGAGTCTGTGACTTTTCAAGCCAAAGTGTATAAATAAGGTAAATGTACATATGTTTGTTGTCCCTTGCTGTGAATGCTGACCGTTATTTGAGTGTGGCCTGTACAGGACAGATTCATTTTGAGGTACATTTGTAAATCAAATTGAGAACATAAAATGTAAATAAAAGCACAATAAATCAAATGAAATTACACATCATTGGAATAAAATTGCCCTTTATTGAAGTCTATTAAAAGGTAGGGTATAAGTAATTCACTTCAGAAACACTTTTTGTTATATTCCATGGAATGCTCTTAACATCCAAAAGCACGACCAATCATCTGAGCCGGCCCGGCTAAAATAACTGGATGGCCTACCTGCCTGTCAGCCTTCCATCTGGGCACAAACTTATCTCATGCCCTCATTGGTCATGTGCACCTCCGTGTGTGTTAGAGGAGGTGCTCTGTAAGGAAGTCTGAAGGGAGGGCCAGATTGTTTTCGGCTGCTACTTTCAAATTCTAGCGCACTCGAGCTGGTTTCTCCATTCTTACCCCTACCTTTAAAGCAAGAATATGCTGCTTAACTGATTGTTTGATCATTGAAAATAAAGGATAAGCATAGCAGTATTTACAATAATCAAGGATTTAAACTCCATAAACCATTGGTGGCCTTTTCCCAATTATTAAACCCTAGCACAAGACACAACAGAGTGATTGTTCCAAGTATTTTTTATAATATCAAATCAGCCTGCAAAATACTGAGACACCATCTTTTGAATAAGCCCACTTTGAAAATGTGCCCTGATGAGCAAGTATAGAAGTTATATAAAAAAAGTATTTTGATGTGCTATATAGAGGCATTTTAGAGAACAAATAGCTTAACTAAAAGATATATTTTCAACTATTTATTCGTTTCCAGAATTATCAGTACAAATACCCATTATGTGAGTATTATTCCTAATTTTGTACATATTTATTTTTAGGGTTTTCTGACCATCTCAATAATTTAAATGCTTATTTTGAAATTAAGCACAAATGGCTTGGAAGCAATTATGAAATTATGACATTTTGGACAGACATGGATGTAAACTGCAACATCTCTGGTTTCCCTGAGGCATTTGGTTTCTTTAAATGACAGGAGGTCCAGCGGCTTTAATTGTGGCTTCGAGTTGGCATATTTTAAGTGTCGCACCCAAATCCACGGAAAACCCAGGATACAGAGGCTCGGTGAAAATGGTCTGGACGTGGTGCAGCTGTGAGAAACTGCCCGAGTCAGAAACACTGTAGAAGCCCAGAGTTCCTGCTTCAAAATCAAGATGTATGCCCACTCTGCGGGAGAGAACCGGAGGAATTTGGCCTTTGTGAAGATTATTGTGCCAAAATGTGCAACCGGACAACGAGCAGGTTAATTTCCAAGACAGCTCGTTGTGGCCGAAACAGCAACTTTTGCCCGAACCATTTCTTTCAATGCTTCTGTACGACACAGCCAAATCCACAATGCCCCCATCCCACTCCACCTCCCAGTAGTGGCTGTACTGAAGGCTGTTTTTGCACAGAGCCTGGTGATAGTAGGAGAATCTGTCTGCATGATCAGGGTGAGCCTGGTCCCGGTCGCTCCATGATATCTCTCTGTTTCTGTCTGACAAATGAAGACATGCAGCTACTGTGTTGGGGTCCACCTCCAGGGTGGTGTCTCCTGGGAAAGATGAAACACTGTTAAAGATGTTCAAGTATGTTAGAACTGACATTTGTGAATGAACATCAACCTTACCCTGATATTTGGTCAAAAGATACATCCTTGATATTGTTTTCTCCTTAATCGTTGGTCGTTTCCATACTGTGATAAAAGGAAACTGGTCATTTTGTTGATACACTAACAGAAAATAAACAAATCAGATGAATTTTGAGATTCACTTACACAGATTTTTTTCTGGATCACGCAATAATTCTATCTTTTCTTTGTTACACAGATCTTTCAGTTTTTTTGTCTGTCCAGAGATGAACTCTGTCAGTTTGTCAGGACTTGAGTCTGCGAACACAGGGAGGTCACCAAGGGCCTTGAAACCCTGCAGAGGGCCAACAAATAAAGTGTGTGACTATCTGCAAAAATGAAATAGAAAGTCTTGTATGGTCTCAAAACAGATCCTCACCTGCACAAACTGAATGGGGTCCTCTGTTAGTGAAAGCTGGTTGAGTCTATCCTCTCTGCTCCTCAGCTCGGACACTTCACGCTCCAGTTGTCCGACACGGATGTTGGTCCAGTCCACTCCTGATTTCTCTGCCTCTCCAACTCTCTCTCTCATCTCAGAGCGCTTCCTCTCCACAGAACGGACCAAAGTACAGATGTGTTCCGCACACAGCCGCTCAAGGTCCTCACAAGCCTCCCATGCAGCATCCTGGTAACGGAAACATGCACCATTTGTGTAATGGCTGGTGAAATGGGGGATTTGACCATATACTTTACACTTCCGTTAGTTATTCTGCAACATTTAATTTATTTTTTAAATGTATTTATTGATTTATTTTTCCCACAATTATTTAATATAATATCAATATAATAATAAATATTTGCAAAACATTTTGACATTCATTCGTACATTCTATTCAAAATCATTATTTCATCTCATGTGCAATGTCATGGAAACTGTCGTATTAATGAAATGTAATGTTTTAGTTTTGTGTTCTTTAAGAAACAGATGTCTCAAGTATAAAGAAGAAAGGCAATTATAAAAACTGCAGATAGAAAGTGGAGGCAGGATCTGGATGGTGTCAGGATAACGATAAGGCTGACTCGTATAGTCACCAGGTTATCCGTTTGTGTAGATTCCCTCAGTGTAGGGTTTAGTGTGGGACATAAGCTATCTGGCTCAAGAATGTGTTTTATTACATGTATGTATTTTTGATGATCTCTTTCGTGTACTATTTTAAAAGGCTGTATGTCACTCACTAAAGGATATACTCACTTAACACTTTGCGTACATGGAATAAAGATCTGTATGTTTTTGTATTTGCTGCCTCACTTATAATACTCTAGAGTCTAGACCATGATTTAAAGTTGTAATGTCAGCAACAAGAACACAAGCTTGTGTGATTTAAGAGGTCACAAGCCAAAAAAGGTTAGGTATCACTGTTCAAGATTACTCCACCCATTCACAATATTCCTGTCAGTTTCTGGATATAGTCTGCATGCACTTTCTTCCCTTTAAAGAAAGAAAAAGTCTACCTTTTATTCAATCAAAACTTCAAGACTCACAAAGTACTCTGTTCGAATACATAGAACATGAAGCATTCATTCATATTATAAAATGTTGTGTTCAGTGTGTCAGAGGCGGAATGTTTTCAGGGACACTGGAAAGTCCCCTGCCGGATAGCAACTATTGCTTTACACAGGCAACACTTTTTTGTCAGCATATGAGGCACTTTGAATACTTTGAAATATGTTGATGAATAACAGAAAAGGTCAATGTTAAACTCACTCTTATAGAGCCTGCAGCCTGCCTCAGCTCCATTATTTTACTCTCCGAGTGCAGCAGTCTGTCTGCTATTTTCAGTTTAGTCTGCCCCAGTTGTCTCTGTTGAAACACAAACATTTTGAGATGATCAGTGACTATATAACAGTCTGGCCTACAAATGACTCCAGCACGTGGCTGGACTGAATTACCTGCATTTGACACTTTTCTGCTGCCACTGCCACAGTGTCATGTCCTTTGTGCTCATCCATGGTACACAGCAGGCAGATGAACTGCTGATCCGTGCGGCAGTAAATCTCCAGAAGTTTATCATGACGGCCACAGATTCTGTCTATGATCCATGCAGAGGCTTTGATCAGATTGTGTTTTTTTAAGGGGGGCACCTCAAAGTGAGGCTTCAGATGAGTCTTACAGTAAGAGGCCAAACACACAAGACAGAACATGCACGCTTTTCTTTTTCTCCCTGTGCAGGCGTCACACTGAACATCACCAGGAGCAGCATGAGTGATATTATCAGCGTCTTCACTGTGTGTCTTCCTGTGCTCCTCCAGCAGGGCAGCCAGGAGTGTGTTCCTCTTCAGATCAGGCCTGGGGCAGAACGTCTGCCTGCACTGAGGGCAGCTGTAGCTCTTCCCTCTGTCATTATGTCCATCCCAGAAGTTATTGATGCATTTCATACAGTAACTGTGTCCACAGGACGTCGTCACAGGATCCTCCAGTAGCTGTAAACAGATAGAGCAGTCGAACAAATCCTCACTGTAGGCCATTTTGTGCTGCTCAGAGTTAGTTTCCCTTTCCCTGGAAAGGAGGTGTGGCTTGTTGTTGGCAGCTAGATACTATTGGAGTGTTCTCACTGACTGCTCTGTGGGAGTGTCAGTGTCAGAGCAGTAACCTACGTAACCTTACTGTCAAAGAGGTCTCAAAGTCTACTCGTACTTTACTTGAATGGCCTTTTTCTCAATGTTACCACACTTTATACTTCTATTCAAAGAATGAAGGGGTGGATATTTTAGCCCTAGTTTAACAACACTGTATTTATGTGAAAAATGTCCATTGTCTGTCCTATTGTATTTTTGAAGGAATCTGAAAAAAGGACATACCTTGAGCATATGATAAAATATTGAACTTTGTTTTTACAAACAACATCATTTAAGAAGAAATGAATCACCTACAATTATGTTTCTTGTTTAAATCTCTATGTACGTATTTGATTGTAGTACAACTTTACTTACATACTATAAAAATGACCTACATACAAATGTTGCCATAAAAATGAAATGTACTTGACAAAACTAAACTTTTTGACCCAATGAATTGTCATATTGTAAAATTACTTTTTTTATTGAAACTATGTTTTAACATTATTTATTAGAATAAAATGAAGCATTTCTCTGAAACATATTTTTTATTGATTATAAACATTAAACGCATGACAAAGCAAGAGGAGTTTGAGTATCTATTACATTTACATAGAATTGTTCTACTTAATAACTTAACATGCACCTGCATGATGAGTTTACAATTTCCATTACAGGATGAGAAACATGATACACACCAAAACCTCACATCTGTCTCATCATTATCTTCACCCTTTTTTTCTAACAAAATAAATGTTAAAGAATAGAATCAAATAATGAGCTACAAACAATGTTTTTTAAATGAAAAAATCTTTAGCACTCGTCTTTAACACAAACACAGATTGAACATACTGCCTCACATCCGTCTCATTATTATCTTCAGCCTTTTTTTCTAGTAAAAACTATAATAAAGAATAGAATCAGATAATAAGCTACAGACAATATATAATTGAAATGAACATATTTGTAGCACTCGTCTTTAATGCAAACGCAGAATGAACATACTACCTTACTTCACTCGAGCACACCTTGGCAGTGGATTTATTTTGCACACACTATCCTGGCTGAGGCCCCTCTGGAGACCATGAGGCCGGGGTACAGAGGCTGGGAGAATGTGGTGTTGACTCTGTGAAGGAGAGTCATTTCCCCACAGTCAGACACGCTGTAGAAGTACAGAGTCCCTGCCTTGTGGTTCAGATACACACCTACAGTAGAGGAGCAGTTAATGGGTATTTTGGTTTTGATTCCACCGTGCCAATAGGCGCAACCAACATTTGAAAGAGAAATGCACCAGGAGTGACTTGCTATATCCCCAAAGCCACTTTCCTCCAAATCTGCCCCTTTATAGCACACAGCGACCTCAACCCTGCTCCCCCGCCACTCAACCTCCCAGTAGCAGACTCCAGATAAGCCTACAGTGCACAACACCTGATCATATTGGGTAAACCTCTCTGGGTGCAAGGGATACCTCTGAGCTTTTTTAATCCAGGTTACTTTGCGGTTTCCCTCAGAGAGCAAAAGGTTTTCAAATGCTGTGTTGGGATCCAAACTGAGGCTGCTGGAATCTGAAATGTAGAAGTTAATATAATTCAGTGTGTTTATTATAACTTGTAAGGAAGGCACAGCAGTTCATGTGAAGATGCCAGGACTCACAAAGGGAGAGCTCCTGTCTTGTCTGAGGGTCAGGATCAGCTTGAACTAAACGTAAAAAAACATGACAGCAGAAAATGTAATAAACTGGCTATTAAACATTATCTCATCGTTCCAGTAAATACATTTTTAAAGGAAATATCTTCTTACTTGTCTGAGATATTTCTGCAATAGCTATGGAAACATTTTCCATTCTGTCTCTCAAATCAGATATAGCCCTTTTGACAAAGTCAAAAGGGGTTTGTTGTTCGATGTCAACATCAGAGGACAAGTCAGCTTCCGGACAGTCAAAGATGGCCTGGCAGCTCTAGAAACACATGAAAACAATCATAATAATAATTATAATAATCATAAGCTTTAATTGTATAGCCCCTTTCATATAAGAATTGCAGTCCTATGTGCTTCACAGTAGAGGATTGACATCTCATAGAACACAGTTACCGATAAAAGACATAAAATAAGCATAGAATAGACATAGAAAATAAATTCAAATGTAAGATAATATACAGTGTGGCAAAAAAGTATTTAGTCAGCCACCAATTGTGCAAGTTCTCCCAAAAATCCAGAAAATCACATTGTCTTATTTTTAAAGAATTTATTTGCAAATTATGGTGGAAAATAAGTATTTGGTCAATAACAAAAGTTCATCTCAATACTTTGTTATATACCCTTTGTTGGCAATGACAGAGGTCAAACGTTTTCTGTAAGTCTTCACAAGGTTTTCACACACTGTTGCTAGTATTTTGGCCCATTCCTCCGACTGCCAAGGCACACAGGGGAGTAGGTCTAGAGCAGGATGTTTGGGGCTGTCTGCTGGCCAACACGGACTTTCAATCCTTCAAAGATTTCTATGGGTGACGATCTTGAGACTGCTAGCTCCAGGACCTTGAATGCTCTTACGAAGCCACTCCTTCGTTGCCCTGGCAGTGTGTTTGGATCATTGTCATGCTAAGACCCAGCACGTTTCATCTTCAATGCCCTTGCTGATTGGAAGGAGTTGTCACTCAAAATCTCACGATTCACGATACATGGCCCCTTCATTCTTTCCTTTACACGAATCAGTGCTTCCTGGTCCCTTCTGCAGAAAAAGCAGCCCCAAGCATATTTCTCCAGCCCGCCCCATGTTTCACGTACCGGTATGGTGTCTTTGGATGCAACTCAGCATCCTTTCTCTCCAAACACGTCTAGGTGAGTTTACAAAAGTTCTATCTGGTTTCCATTACTCATAGTGACATTCTCCCAATCCTCTTCTTTGATCATCTAAATCACGGTTCTCAACGGGGGGCGGTACCGCCCCCCAGGGGGGCGTCAGACATCGGGGGCCGCGCGGTAAGCATATTTGAAAGGGGGCGTTGAGGGTGTTCTGGGGGGCGTTCACCCGCATATGTCTTTTGTCATGAAAAACGCTGGCCACAGCGTCTTTTGCTGTACAAAAGCAGCGTGCGTCAGCATCTTTTGGGGTGGGCTATGTAGGAAACCACAACTCTGCTTGCGATTGGTCAGCGTGTCAGCAGTGTTATTACGGGTACGTTCGTAAATGCACGAACGGTCAGTCGCGCTCGCGACAACCCGTCTGTTTCCGCTAGAGCCACCCAGCTGTGGAGCTCAGAGCGCAGCGCTCGTGGACTGTGAACTGGGGACGCTCGGAGCGGCTTCTGAGCGCATTTACGAACGTACCTAACAAAAGCATTCTGGGACCGGAATTCGTTGCGCCTAAGCTCTCTGCTGGGAAGAAGCTCGCGACTGTTAATAATCTTTTGTTCACTGTTGTTACATTTTGATATGTTACGGTTGATATGACAAATTCCACTAACAGAATTCGAACCCTAATTGGTCTCATGTTCTCTCTCTGCAAGCGCAAGGCCATAAGCGGTATTACCCGCTTTGCGTATGTACTTGCTATACCGACTGCCTCGCCAAGAGCCCTCGCGTGTCCTGAGCCCGCGCTCGCTCCACACAGAGCTCTGTTGTTCAAAATTTGTAGCCGCCCACAAACGTTCCTGGTCCGCTCTCCGAGCTCTCTCGTAGTGTCTTGTCATAATATATGTCACCAGCTAGCCCTCTAGCGTTTGCCGCCATATCGTGACACTACCCCCCCCCCTAAATATTAGCATCATAAAAACAACAAAAATCATAGGCTCACATCAGCCAAAATGGCCGCGAGAAAAGATAAAATGCAGGACGCAGTACTCTGATTGAATATCTTCGCTATGCTTCAGTACCGTCTCGCTAGCCAATGCACAACTGTGCCCAATGTGTTTATTTTGCGAACATGTATTTCCAATGACGGGAATGAAACCCTCACGTTTAAAAGGGCACCTTACCAAGATCACCCGGATAAGGCAAGATAGAGTGGGCGTCCGCAGCCCATCACTGTAGAGGGGTTCATTGGTCATGTTGCCGCCTGTGGGATGCCGTATCGCTCGTTGCGCGGGGGTCGCGCGGACATAGGAGGGAGGCTACTGCTTGTACATGGCAGCGGGCTAATAGCGTCATAAATGGGCAGGATCTTCTCTCTGTCTGGATAGTCCCAAATGTGTGCTGGTGGCTCGTATCTTTCTCTCAATCGGAGAGAAGTTGGTACTCCCTGCCATCAAAGGAGGTCATATCTACGTATGGAGCGTGATCGCCCACACAGGTACTTGAAAATCCATCCCACTCAGTTAATGACACCGATGCACGTTCTGTGTTATTGAGCGCCTGAAAATCGGCGCGCTATACAGAGGAGAGCTGTGTCCATTCCTCGACAATACAATATACATATCAAGCTTGGATGAGACAAATCTTCTCTTCTGTCTAGGACACAATGTATCTGTTGAACGCGCCTATGTCCCTGTAATAGCACCTCCCCCAAAGTCACGGAGATTGTGCTTGAGGAATTTTTTACATACTTTCAGAAATACATATCTAGAGTCATCAGTAACTACACAAGGGCGGCAGACCATTTTTGAATGCACTGGATGCTATATATTTTCAGCGTGAGAAGTCATCATCCCGATCAACAAAATCCTCGCATTGTGTCCGCTCATGCTAGATCAGGTGCACCCTCCGCATGATAGGTTGAGCACCAACGAAAGTAGGATAGCGCTGCGCATGTCGCCACCATCTGCTGTAGGAGTGTTACAGGCAGAGAGGTCCCTCACTGTCCTCAACAGTCCACTTGTGTCATATTCTCCCACTACAACCTTGGAGTCCAAATTAGATTCCACCTCTCAAGCGGGAGTCTCTACTAATGTTGACGATTTACACGGTCAATTGTTATATAACTCGCAAAAAAAAGCCTACGCCCTGGGAATTAACTAAGAATTGTGTGGTGATCCCTGACTGTTGACCCTAAAGCCGGCTGTCAGGAAAATTGATGAGACCTTTGACACCTCTCTTGCTGCGCACGTGACTGCTGATGGTCCGCTTGGCTCCTCAGATAGAGGCACACACTGCCTTGCTCGCTCTTTATTGTGTGTCTGTTCTCTGACTGTCTCCATCGCTCGGAGTTCCCTGGATATAGGTTACTGCACTGACGATGTTGGATGTGTCTCGGAACCAGAGCTGATGGGCATCCTCCTAGCCGCTGGACATCCACTGTGTAGCGCCTCGCGCACTTCTTTGTACACAATGGATCATGAACGAAACGGCTGAAGCTCCATAAGGAATAAAAGGCATATCAGTTACTCTAGGACGGCTAGAGCAACGGCTCTCCGTGTTCATGCACAAGAAGCTCTCTGCAGACCTCTCCATGTCTGTGTACTCTCTCTCCTCCTATTCACCGGCAGAGCGCACGCAATGAGAGCGGCACGGCAGTTATACGGCGGTCTCTCGCCACGCTCCGATATTGTCTAGGGCGCGGTGCTCTAGGCTATGTTTATATTGAAACTAGATTTATTGCCAATAAGAATTATGGTAAGCCTCACTAGTTTTAATATTACTCTGTGTACGGGAGCATTACTCTATGAGACGACTATATTATGTGGTTCATGGGTTGGGTAACTGGTCTAACCCATATACATAAAACCTATGTTAGAACTGAATGGAATGAGATGATAATTTGTGTTAAACTAATTGAGCAGATAGGATTATGTTGTGTATATGAGATGTCAGGATAGGGTAAGCGATCCTTGCCACCGATATACACTCTCTCCCCGTGCTGCTCCCTGATTTTCGTGCCCTCACTTGCGGGGATGTCGGGGAAGGCTCATATTCCGCACTGAGCACCTCCTTGCATTCAGATACACAGACCACCTGATTGAACAGAGAGATGGTTTAATGCCGACTTGAAGATCCGCCTTCAGATGATCTTTGGACTCGATGTTCCCACCTGTTGTGGTGCAGCCCTTTCAGGCGGCGTGTGGGCGGAATGCGAGCCAGCACACCCTACAGGAGCATCTCATCGACATCCAGCGAGTGGATCGGGGATCGCGCGCTGGGCTATGTTCCCGCAGCTTCCGGCTGGGCAACACATTGGGTCAAATACTCTCAGCGTTGACTTACGCGGTACAGCCTGGAGATCAAAGAAGCGCCTCGTTCTTCTGGCCCGTTTCCCAAATTCCACATACTCGTGGAGCAGGAAGACCGCTTCAGCGTGGTTCTCCACCATGCAGTCAAGTACGCAATCGCTTGAACTTACATGGCCTGCGCATGGTGTGATGCGTCTCGTAAGGACTAACTTTTGTGTTTTTTTTTTCTCTGGCAAATCCGCAGTGACGCGCTCGCGCGGAGAAACCACCTAAGCGCTATGGGTGTCTCACACGTGATCCTTCCCTCGCCCCTCCACTCTCCGCTGATAATTTCTCTTGCGTGTAATGGTGTTCTGCCCACGGGCACTTTCCGGATTGTGTAGATTACAATGCTGTGTGTAGGGCCTAGAGAATTGTCACGTTTGTGAAAGGCCCCCTTGTTTGTTGTTCTCGTAGCTACTGGACTCATGTGTGGAATATGCTGGCTGGATATATCGTGCGAGCCTATGTATCTGTTTTTGTATTCGGTTTGCTGCTACCTTGTTTCTGAACTTGTGTGAGGCATTCTCATTAAATATCATTTTTATTCACTTCACATGGCTGTTTCTGCTCCTCTGGTAAACTAATGATTAATGATAATTCCAACTGCCCAGTTGAAATCAAATCTATTATTTGGCATTCAGTAACTATGCTTTTTAAATGATATAACACAGAATATTAGTCAATCAATTAATAATTCCAGGTAGGAAAAATAAGTCAACTTTTTTTGATGGGGGTAGCTATCTTATATCGTAAGAGACCCTGGATAATGGATCAGAGGTTTTAGGCGCTGGCTCACCAAAAAAAATTATTATTGTAGATAACCACCGGTTACAGAGACTACAATATTCATGACTCTCTAGCAAAACATCGACGGGCCTTGGACAAGTGCTCCCTGGTCTTAAGCAGGGGGACACGTTCTCTGTGCACTGCAGGATGTTGAGATCCCTTTGGCGGGTATGTGTGTTACTGGATGTGTAGCCTTTGTTACTTTGGTCCCAGCTGGTCTCGCAGGTCATTGGACTAAGTTCCCCCCGTGTGTTCTGGTGTTTTTTGCTCACCGTTCTTGTATGTGGTCATTTTGATACTCCACGGGGTGAGATCTTGCGTGGAGCCCCAGATCGAGGGAGATTATCAGTGGTCTTGTATGTCTTACAATTTTCTAATAATGCTCTGCAGTGGATTTCTTCACACCAAGCTGCTTACACTATTGGCACGGCGTTCAGTCTTTCCAGTGCCCTGGTGCAGGATCTACAATTTTGTTTCTGGTTGTCCTTATTTGACAGCCTCTTTGTCTTGCCATAGTGGAGTTTGAGTGTGACTGTTATGGGAGGTTGTGGTGACAGGTGTCTTTTAGAGCGGTTGATAACGAGTGTTAAAGGGTGCCAATTTAATACAGGTTAACAGATCTAAAGGTGTTACGGCTGATTGACAGAGGAGTCTCTTATATAGCGCAAGAAACGTTTACAAGTCTGTGAGAGCCAGAAATCTTGTTATAGTTTGATAAGGTGATCCAATACTTTATTTTCCACAATAATTGCAAAGACATTATTTAAATCAGACAATGTGATTTTCTGGATTTTTTTTTTCTCTCTCTCTCTCGTCTCTTCCATATTAGTTGAGGTATACCTAGGATGAAAATTACAGGCCTCTCATCTTTTTAACGTGGAGAGAACTTGCCACGGGTTGTTCCGCTAGAAAAAACAGCTATCC